CTTGAAAGAAAGAACTTGGGCAGCTTTCTAAAGTCTCAAAAACCCTCTGTTTTTACTAGTTCAGTGTAGTGTTGGGGCCACTTTTTCTTTAATTTTTTTAGACAGTTTTAGGCTATTAAGATCCTGGAGGTCATGGTCATCACAGTGAAGCTAAGACTTACTTTTTTTCAGGTAGTATGTATTTTTTAGTTGGTAGTTTCTTGAACTCACTGGGCACTGTGTGGGTTGACTTAAGATTGAGTAATTCATGCCATGGCTGTTTAATTTGGTGAAAAGCTGGCTATGATCAGAGAACAAACTGTCAGGAAGTGGTCCAGTTTTAAATTTGCATGAGTATATAAGTAGAGTATTTTGGGTTCATTCATCTCTTGCCAGTCTTAGTTGTTAAGTAATCTTATTGCATTCATATTTACATCATCCTCAGAATCTTGTGTTTCTGCCACTCTCATAAAAACTGACTCTGGTTTTTAAGGTAGAGCTTCATGCTTGGAATTAACCAGGAAAAGCCTCATTTATATCTCCAGCAAGAGGGACAGAGGGCCTGCACTGTGTACTTGCTGCCAGAAGTTTTTATAGTAATACTTTGTATCTAGGCTCTGGCTCTTACCATTAAATGTGCTTTTTATAGAGTACCAAGTTATAAATGTAGTGCAGCTACGGCATATTAATCTTACTGCAGAGATTTAATGAGGCAGTTGTTTTGCGATGGACACTATTGGGAGCAGAGAGCGACAGAGTTTTACTTTACCACTGAGCTGCAGAAATATTCCTTGCCTGGTAATAATTATAACCACATGATCTCTTAGTTTTTCTTTCTTTTGCCAGTGCTTTTCCATGCAAAAGTGGCTTGGAAGGAGGTCCATTTTGAGGCAGTGAAATGGATTGGAAATTGGGCTGTTTTCTCAGTAGTTTGACATTTTAGCTTTGATCAGGCATGGGATCCTTGTTGCACAGAGAGAAATATGTAAGATGAGTTTCAAGAATACAGATAGTCTTTGCCAGTCCACTGAGATGGCTTTTAGATATTCATTACTTTTACTTGACTTTTATATAGGTTATAAAAAGTAAATGTGGTGAAACCTCATTTTTACATGGACAGAACAGAATTTCTGCTGGTTGGCCTTAAACTGATCCCACACTTGAAATTAATTGAAGTCCATGGGTTTATTGCCTCCAACACTTTTAAGCCAGTGTAATTTTTCATTTCCCCCACAGTTGTAATTTTATTAAAGCAAGTTATAGCAATAACAATTCTTACGAAGAGGAAGATGAGACCGAGAAAAGAACCACCTGCCAGAGAACATAATCAGGGAAAAGAATGCTTCTTTTAAATTCCTATTTATAAGTAGTGTTAACAAAATTGGAAACAGAAAGCTGCCACTTACTTTTGTAATAATAATTGTGCGTGTGTTCCAAAATTCAGCATTTTATCCAATGAGAACGATATAAATCCAGTGTCCCATAGCACCCTTTTCAGAGGATGAGGTGGAAAGTTGGTTGAGGAGGTGAGATCATTTGTGTTGAATGCAACATGTTTGGGCACCATCATTTATGGTAGGGGGAGAGAAAGTGGTGCCTGCAGCTATGACACAGTTTGTAGTTGCAGTGTAGAGAGTTTGGAGATATTTTAAAATATAACCCTTTGCGTGGATTTATAGCATGACAATGGAGTTGGGAGAACAATGATCCTTCCTGCAGTGGTGCTGGGGGCAGGGCAGTACTTACAGGCGTGGACCTTGTATTTATAACCCCTTAGGCTGAAGTCAGAGGTTTGAATGGCTAGCAGAGTAATACAATTATTTTTTATGATTGGATCTCAAAGGACTTTATAAAAACTACATCACTAAGTCCATGTGCAATTATTGAAGTATAGCCACCTGTGGGAAAGAAATGGTTGACAGTGTAAGCTTTCTAGAATCTTCCTACATCAACTGGCATTAGGGATGCAAACCCCTAGCACAAATAAACACATCTTTTGAATGGGCAAAAAAGACTTTTTCATGAAAGTGGAGGCTGGAAAAATCTTACGAGGAGAGAGACTGAGATTCCAGTACTCATTACACCAAGGCATCATAGGCTATAATCGAACCCGCTTCCCAGAGGGTCCCTCTTAAGTGTTGACCTAAAAACAAATTCGCCAGTTGGCTGGAGCATGCATCCTAAAGTTGCAGCAGAAGTGAATAAGCTTGACTGACTTCAGTCCCTGAAGGGTTCTATCTGTAAATGCAGAAGTGGAAGCAAAACTATTTTTTATTAGTCTTAAAATGACCCTCATTTTAATAACTAGCCACAGTGTTGGAAGCATGGACTGGGGTCAGTTCTTCAGCTTTTAAGAGCGAAACCATCATGCATTCTTCTATGTTTGTATTTTTGATACTGGATTCATGGAACGTGTCTATATTCTCGAATAATAAGGAAAGTGAGTTTTTATCGTTTTTCTCTGTATGGTACTTAAAGTATTCACAGAGTCTCCTTATTTAAAAACAAACAGGTCTGCAAACTGGATGTGTAGCATTTAAATAATCATATTAAAATTCAGACCTAACAGCGACATTTCCCTGAGTGCTATCAGTTTTTTTGAGAAACTAGAAACTCATACTAAACAACCAAGAGGATTCATGAGTACATGCTGCCTTCCAATAAGTGTTTTAATGGTGTGGGGGTCAGTTTGCCATAGGTGGGACAGTTATTTATTTTCCTGAATTGCTGTCTAGTTTGGCAGTATTTCATCACTTGGTTTTAGTTTGTCGGAGATCTTTGAATCATTGCCATTTTTTTTTTTTTTTTTTTTGCATCTGTAGCCCCAGATGAAATATTTGAGAGAAGCAAACCCAAATATGGTGGGTCCTATAGTATCAGCTTTGGAAAATGTAGGCATGCGGGTGTTTTTTACTTTAGAGGTAACTGGTCTGTTCCTGTTTACAGAGAAAATACCAGTAAAGGACTTTTAAAGGTAGTCTCTATTTTTTTCTCCTTCTCTTTCTCACCATCACTAAATAATATTTACTAAGCACTCACCTGGACATAGAACTGTGCTGGGCAGAGTACAAGACAAATGCAAAATCCCTGTGATTACTCCCCCAGGAATGAGCAGTCTCCTGGTATACTGAAATGGGCACTGTGTAGAATGCTGAGATAATAATTTTCCAGATGGCAAATCAACCCAAATTACCAATGTACTTAAACAGTGTGTTCTTTTTGAAAAAACCCAACAAACAAAACTACGTGCTCTTTGAGATGGGAATTTTGCTTTTTTTTAAAGAACCCGAGAGTTGATCAGATACATTGTGATATAAGTTGATTTTGGCATATGTGAATCATTGGAAGGGTGGTGATATAGTTATGTTTATTGCAGATGTGAAGAAAGGCCCTCGAACAACTGCCAGACAAAAAAGGGAATATAAGTGACTTGTAGAAGAAGCATTCGTAGAAACGTGCTATGTGCAAAATAGCAGAAAACAATCTCAGAGCGCAGGATATTGGTGTGGTGGCGTTTATGGACTTTTTTGAGAAATACTTGGTTATTTTTGATTCCGTGGATTCTTGATTGTAGCATTTAATGAGATATTTAAAATATTAAATAGCTGGGTATGGCAGTGTGTGCCTGTGGTCCCAACTACTCAGGAGGCTGAGGCAGGAGGATTGCTTGAGGCCAGGAGTTGGAGGCTGCAGTGAGCTATGATAGTGCCTATGAATAGCCACTGCACCTCAGCTTGGGCCACATGGTAAGAGCCATCTCTGAAAAGCAAAATTTAAAAAAATTGATTATATTTATATTTAAATTATTATATTTATTGTAGCCATTAAAAGTAATATTGTAGTCATACAAAAATGTGACTACAGATAATGCCTTACTTATTTCTTAGGTGTCTTGATACAGTTCTTTTGTAAACATTTCATTGACTAGTCAAAGCCTTATAGAAAATAGAAATCTCTGGTTTAATTTTACTGTATTTTGAGATATAGTTTATTTATGACTTTGGAGGACTTTTTGCTACTGGAAATCAGTGACCCATAAATTCAGTCACTGATTGTATTACCCTATTATCTTAATTTCCCCCAAAGAGATACTCTTCTGCCCCGTCCCCACAGTTCCTTTCTCCCTCCCTCTTTGGGAGGAATTGAGTCAAAGGACAGCGTCACTAATCAAAAAGCATTTATTGAGCTCTAAGTAAACGCATTCCACGTGCTTTTCTCTCCCTGTACTCCCGCACCTCTCCTTGCTGTTTGTGTATCATTTTTAGGGTTAAAATGGAACTATTTTTAATTTTCACAACATTTAGTTTTTCAACGCTAGTAATGCCAACTCAAGTTGTTGACTTCATTATTATTTATAATTGCTTTTCATATATCTTATTTCACTTTTTTGGATAATTTTGAAAACAAGAGACATACATTTACACTTGAGTTTGCGTTTGTAAGAATGTTTTTGCTATGTGATACAGCTTATTTTGCTATCAGTGTCTAACAAATAATGGAGTAGCTGTGTGTTTTGACCAGTTTATAAGTAAAGGTCAATTTTGTGCCTATGGTGATTACCTTAGCTTATTCTAGACTTTTGGCTAATTCTGGTAATTTCCCACGAAAGAGTATATTTAGCAGAAAAAGAGTTCATTCTTAAGCACAGTGGGTTTTTTTTTTTCTTTTGCATTGGAGACTGTTTAATTTTAAAAGTGATTTATCTCTCTCTTTTAAGCAAAAACTAAAAGGCTATGAAAAAAATGGCAAAGTCAATCTTAGGAGTAGACGAGTGATTTGATGGGAGAGATAGGAAAAGGGCTACATGGTGGGGAAAGGGAAGAAGGCCTTTGATGATCACTAACTGAATAATGTTAGGAGAGGCTCACTTTTGATTCGTCTGTAATAAAATCTACAATGAAGCTCTCCTATTGCAGCTTCAAGGAAAATGGTATTTCTGTTTTTGGTAGCAAGAAGATTAAACGTTACTTTAAAAGAACCTGTCTTTAAACCCCATACTTACAGTGTTGATTTTTTTTCAGACCCCAACTGTAAACTTGAAGACAAGACTGAAGATGGAGAGGCGCTAGATTGTAAGAAGAGGCCGGAAGACGGGGAGGAGTTGGAAGACGAGGCTGTGCACAGCTGTGACAGCTGCCTCCAGGTGTTTGAATCGCTGAGCGATATCACAGAACACAAGATTAATCAATGTCAACTGACAGGTAAACAATACTTACCACTTTTTTGTCTTCTTGTACTGTTCTATTTCTGATTTTTTCAGTTTGTTCCTTTATGTGTTTTTCTCTTCAAATTATTTTATTCCTACACTTGAATACCTAGCTAAGTCTAGAGGTGCTTTTGAAAGAATTCTGAGATGGCTGTTTGGGGTAACCTCAGTGTCACAGCCCTCTTAGATTTTGAAATGCACCTAGATGTTAAGAGCTAATGAGTGTATTTTCTTTTTTAATTTTTTTTACATGATGCCATTTAGGAGCAGAACGTGAATATTGGATGACTAATATATTTTAAAAATCCTTTGCATACCTTTTCAAAGACAGCATGAGAAAGGAACATGTTAGCTTAGATAACACTTCCTGAAGGAAACCTTTTCTGATCACCCTCTGCCTGAGTTAGCCACGTTGTTTTGTGTTCCCATAAAGTTTAATGCTTATCCTTGAGCACCACAGTTCTCACTGGGTATGTTCATTTTTCCATCTCACTCGTTACACTGGAAGCTCACGGATGGCTGAAATTGTGTCTTATTCATTCTTGCATTATCTAAGCCTAGCACAATACCTGGCCTATAGTAGGTGCTCATTAAGGCTGGGAAGTTATTCTGCTATGCAGTTCCTTGGAAGAGACATATTTAAAGCAACATGTTGCATAGCATGTTTGATGTAATGGCTAAATAAAACTGGGACTCAGTTTACCAAATATCTACCCCCTTTAAAATATATCCTACAGGAACACATTCTATAAGCCTGGGTAGGGCATTTTAGATAGAAATCTGTAAGACACACATCATTCCACTCTTCCTGTTTGAAGCTGATGCCACTCCTGTGTGTGTGTATGTGTGTGTCTCTCTGTCTCTGCCTCTTATTTTCCCAGCACAAATCTTTCTTCAATTAAGCGAGTATGGGAAATGTGTTTACTGGACAAGTGGTTCTCTGTTTTCCACAGCATATTCATATTTTTATAAGATTTTAAAGTGTATTCTATTTTAACAAGGTTTTCTGAACGGATTATTGTGGAATGTTGGATTAAATCCATTAAATAGACTTCTTTATTAAAAGTGCCTTGTGGCTTTTCTCTTCAAAAAGGGATTGCAGTGAGCAAGTTTATTAGGCCCCAGAATCATCTTCCTTTCAGAAAACCCATAAACATTTTCTGGAACTAAAGTTTGAGAATCGATGTTGCTTATATAAATATTGGCCATACATATATATTTTACAGTTTATATATGCTTCTAGGGAGCAACTTTTATTTTGATACAATTCCAAACATACAGAAAACTTAGAAAACGGATATAAGGAACTTCCGTATCATTTATCTGATTCACCAGTTGCTTACATTTTTCTCCATTTACTTTATTATTCTCTTTTTCTCTCTCCTATAGCATTTCTTTCTTAATCATTTGAGAGAAAGTTGGAGACATCACACCTCTATAAATATATCCTTTGTATTTCTGAAGCACAAATCTATTCTCTTACATATCTATAGTATACTTACTGAAACTGAGGTTAGTCTTTAGGCCAGGTGTGGTGGCTCACACCTGTAATCCTAGGGAGGCCGAAGCAGGTGGATCATCTGAGGTCAGGAGTTCAAGACCAGCCTGACCAACATGGTGAAACCCCATCTCTACTAAAAATAAAAATTAGCCAGGTGTGGTGGCGTGGGCCTGTAATCCCAACTACTCAGGAGGCTAAGGCAGGAGAATTGCTAGAACCCGGGAGGCATAGGTTGCAGTGAGTCGAGATCACGCCATTGCACTCCAGCCTGGGCAACAAGAATGAAACTCCGTCTCAAATAAAAAGAAAGTTAACGTTTAATACAAATAGATACTACTATCTAATTCACAATCCATATTTAAATTTCAGCAGTTGTTTTAATAATGTCCTTGGTAGCTATTTTTTCCCCTCATCCAGGATTCAGGATCACGCATAACATTTAACTGTCATCTCTTTTACCTCCTTTAACATGGAATGTTCTCTGAGCCTCTCTTTGCCTTTCCTGACTATGACATTTTTGAAGAGAAACTACCAGTTAGTTTACAGAATACCCATCCATTTGGGTTTGTCTGATGTTTCCCAAGGATTAAATTCAGGTTACATAGGCTTCTGTAGTATTCAGGCTCCAAAGAAGCCAGAATCACCAAAGAAGTGATAGGCATCCTTCTCAGTGCATCAGATCGGGAAGTACATGATGTTAGTTTGTTACAATGTTGATGATGTTAACATTGAATATTTGTTTAAGGTGGTGTCTGCCAACAGTTTCCATTATAAAGTTACCATTTTCTCTTTCTCCATGGTTAATAATTTGTGGGAAGATAACTTTGAAACTATATAAATATCTACACTTCATAAAATGTTTTGTTTACCTACTTTTTTTTTTTTTTTTTTGAGATGGAGTCTTGCTCTATTGCCCAGGCTGGAGTGCAGTGGCACGATCTCGGCTCACTGCAACCTCTGCCTCCTGGGTTCAAGTGATTCTCCTGCCTTAGCCTCCCAAGTAGCTGGGACTACAGGTGCATACCACCATGCCCAGCTAACTTTTTGTACTTTTTAGTAGAGACAGGGTTTTGCCGTGTTGGCCAGACTGGTCTCGAACTCTTGGCCTCAAGTGATCCGCCTGCCTTGGCCTCCCAAAGTGTTGGGATTATAGGCATGAGCCACTGTGCTCAGCCATACTCACTGTTTTTAGGTCTATTGCAAGTTCATAATTTATCTATTTGTTAACCTACTGTAATGTTCTTTCTTATTCATTTGTTTATTTGTATATTCATGTTACCATCATCTTTTGGGTTTTTATTTTATTCAGTCAGTCATAATTCATTACTCTCATTGTATTGATACCCAGATTGCCATAGATCTGGCCAATAGGAGTCCCTTCAAACAGGATCCTGTATGTGTTTAATATGTCTCCATCATTATTTGAGAACTTTAGTTTCTGGCGCAAATTGATGCTCCAGAATCATCATGGTCTTTTCTTGTCCTAGTCCTGCAATCAGCCAGCAATTTTCTTTTCTTTTTCTTTTCTTTTTTTCTTTTCTTTCTGCTGGTTCTTTATGAGGACAAAGGTATTTAGAAACCAAGATATGGATACTATGTATAGTCAGTGCTATAAGTATACCATTACTTATAGACCTCAGAAGACAGAAGTAGGAAATGTACATGCATACTTACTATAATATATAATACACATATAATATAATTCATAAGATTCACCCATATGCAAGTATATACACATACGTGTATTTTTCTCTACCCAATAAAAAAACTGTGTGTTCATACTGATACCTCCCATTCAATTCAGTACCTCAGGTACATCCTAGTCTTTTTCCTTTGTGTATTTCACTGCCTTCTTTAACAGACAGAAACCTGGCTTCCGTTATCCTTATTAATATGTTCACTCATTTGCTTGAGCCTAGAATATACAGTAAGTGGTTTCAAAATTGCTTACTGATACCACCATGATAGGCAAACTGAGTTTAATATTTGTTTATAATTGTTAATGCTGTAATTTTTAGTGCAACATTTACATATAGTGAAATTCATAAATTATAAGTATACAATTTGGTGAACTTTGGCAAAATAAATACACCTATATGACACGCCCTTCTTAAGATATAATTTCATTTCAGAAAGTTCCCTCATGCTTCTTTCTGATCAATAATGCTCCACTGGAAGTAACCAGTTTTTGAGTTGTTTTAACTATAGATCCATTTTACCTATTCTAGAACTTCTTATAAATGAAATTATACGGCGTGCGCCCTTTTTTAGTGTGTCCAGCTTCTTTTGTTCAGCATGATGTCTATGAGATCCATTCATACTGTTGTGTATATAAGTAGTGTGTTTCTTTTTATTGCCGTGTAAGATTCCATTATATGAACATATCATTATTTGTTTTACATTCTCTTGTTAGTGGATACTTTGATTATTTTTAGTTTTTGACTATTATGAGTAAAATTCATAATAGTCAACCTTCTATATGGATCTTTTTGTGGACCTATGTTTTATTTCTCTCATTAGGAATAGAATTGCTGGGTCATTGGGTGAAGGGCATGAGATATGATATATTTAATCTCTATTAGAAACTTCCAAACCCCTTTTCAGAATGATTGTGCCATTTACACTCCCACCAGCAATAGATGAGAGTTCTGGTTGTTGTACATGCTTGCTAACTTTTATATTGTCCATCTTTAATTTTGACATTCTGTTGGGCATTTATTGGTATTTTTTGTGGATTTTCTAGCTCATATATATTTAATTTGCTTCATTTAAGGTGTATTTTTCCTAGAACATATCATTTTGGGAAAATCCCATTAAATGCAGATAATTAGTAAGATGCCATTTTCAGTAGAATAACTGGTGCTTTAAACAAAGCTTTGCTCATGTAGAATCAGCACTAACATTAGGATAAAGGCGTGGGAACTTCAACATGCCCACTGGACTGACATGGCAGTGTGTATTAATCTAGCAAGAAATCCTGTCTTTGGTAAGAGTGGGTCCTCTCTCATGTTAAAAGTTATTTTAAAATTCATATAATTTAGAAAACAACCTTCAAGTTCTACTTAGTGAATAGTTAATTTTTACTGAGTGTCTGCGCTATAGTTATTCTTATGTTCAGCTCTATGAAATTGAATCGAAGCAAAAGGCATTATTCCTGTCTCATACAACTTTAATAATATCTGTGCAGGAAGTGCTGAAGTTTCCACACATGGTATGGCAAAGATTACATTTATGAGTTAAATTTTTTAAAAAACTGATAAAATGTTTGGTTTATTTTGGTCTGAAGCTTTCTGAAAGTAGGGAATCTGTTCTATGGTCACATACTACAGAGGTTAGTCAAAGGTAGAAAAGAAGAGGCTGTGCGTGGTGGCTCCTGTCTGTGATCCCAGCACTTTGGGAGGTTGAGGTGGGCAGGAGTTTGAGACTAGCCTGGCCAAAATGGTGAAACCCCATCTCTACTAACAATACAAAAAAGTTAGCAGGGCATAGTGGCA